TTCCTTCCTTCCTTCCTTCCTTCCTTCCTTCCTTCCTTCCTTCCTTCCTTCCCAGTGAGATGTGGGACCCTTTCCCAGTCGTGCCGTTTCCCTGTCTTGTGGTCAGGAAAGCCTGGAATGCAAAGCACTGGAGCTTTGTTGAACCTCAGTTCAGCACCTTTGCTTTATTTGGGGGGTTATTTCTGCGTATTGTGAACCCAACAGGAACTTGGAAGTGTTTCATTCTGATCGTGTCGTTGCTCTAACTACGTTTCAGGTGGCTACCTTTCCGGGGAAAATGCCGGTAAACTGATACAGGATTCAATTCTGGAACTTTGTTCAAAGGTGCGTTTCAGGAGGGACTATTGAGATCTTGGAAGGGTGTCGATCCCACCAGATTTCAGGGGGTGTTTAAGTGTGCAAGGCATGAGGATCCCCACCTGCAATGTAAGAGAAGACACGCAATGTAAGAGAAGACACAGGGAGCTCTTCCTATCCTGAACCTCCCCGTGTTTAGCTTCGGTGCTTGGCCACAAGCTATGTCCTCCCTTTCCAGACCAAGCAGGTAACCGGCTTGCCCTTCCCAGCAAGTTGCAGCCAGTTCAGATCCCTGCAGCGAGGGGGAAATTTGGATTGAGAGAAACAAGAGGGGCCACTTCCCATCTGCCTCCCAGAGCTGCATTTCCCAAATTCAAGCTCCCTTGGTCCACTCTAAAGGGAGTCTTTGGCAATCCCTGTCTGGGGTTATTACCCTGGTGTCATTCATGAAAATGTGTGAGCCAAGTTCTCTGAAACAAAGCAAGTAGGGACACAGCTTCCAAACCAAGTCCTCTCTAGAGCAGGCTTTGCCTGGCCAGTTCTGCTGGCCTTCTACAGTTGTGTGGCCGTGAACTCCTCTAACGCGATGGGCGGTTTCTCTCCTCTTCCCTTTCTCAACACCCCCCTCTCTCCTAGCTGAAGGACGAAGCAGTGGCTCTGGTGGATGTCATTGCCCCCCCCCACCTTATCCCCCGTTCCCCGCTTGCCAAGGCCGGTGGAGGGGGAAGCGGGGGTTTCCCCCCCCCCCCCCTTGTGGGTCCGTCTTCTAGCCCATCTTCTTGCTTTCTGAATTGCACTGCAGAAATGCATCCCAATCTCTGGTGCCAGTTTCCTTTTCCTTCCCTCAAAAACCTGCTTTGACCGAAACCTTTCTTGTTTTTTGTGACGTTTCTCCAGCTATATAAAAATCTGTGGGGTGCGGTTCTTCAGAGCCCCAAGAGCCTGGAAAGGCCTTCCTGGTGGTCAGAATTTTGTAACAACAAACCTGTCGTGGGCAAGTTGAGGTCCAGAATGTAAACAAGAAAGCCCATCAAGAGCTGCTAGTGAACCTTCATCACAGGAGGGAAAGGATCATGTTAAAGGAAATGAAAGAAGACACCGAGCAACACGGCCTCCCCGTGGAAGCTTCCCTGGACCGGCTCCTTGTCTGCTTTCCAAATGATAGAATATCCCTTCAGTTCAGCATTCTTGACACTTAAGGTCCAGTTGCTTCTCGGACAATCTTCTGTTAAAATAGCTTTCTGTCCATAAATTAATGACCATGTTGAAAGCCAGCAGCTTTTTTTTTTGTAGATGTCCCTTTAAATATTTGCATTTGGTCCATGAGATCAATATCATCCTAGTCTTCAGGAAAGGCTTTAAGTTTGAATTAAGTTGTGTTATTATTTTGCATCTGAGGTCAGTGTTCCGTCTCATCACGGAAGGAAAAATAAGCAGCAGCCCAATCCTCTAGCACAGTGGTCCCCAACCTTTTTTGTACCACGGACCGGTACAAATGATCCATGGACCGGAACCGGCATCAGCACGCACGACCAAGGCAAGGCGAGCCGAGCGACCGGCCAGCCAGCCGTCCCCCGCTTCTCCCTGCCACCTTCAACTCCTCCTTTATACCTTTTTTGTGCTTTTCGGGCTCTTTCTTAATCTCCTCCTGAGTAACGCGAGACTCCACCGCCATTGGGACGGCTCTTCGTTCGAAGCCGCCCCCCCCCCCTTTGACGAAACTAAGGCGCGAGGATTCCTTCAGCACCCAAACGCCGCTTTCCAACCGACGACAAGCTCACCCGGAAGCACTTTCTCAAGTGCCGTCGAAACAAGATGGCGGCGCCCAAGCAAAATAGGTGGTCCGGTACAAAATGATCCACGGACCAGTACCGGTCCGGGGCCCGGTGGTTGGGGACCCCTGCTCTAGCAAACAGGAAAGGCATATTTAAGTTCCTCTGAGACGTTCTGGAATGCTTTTCTTTCCTCTTTTTTTTTTAATTCCCCACCTGTTTTTAAGGTTTTAAAACGATAATAACCGCTGGAGAGAAAGCTCTGAATGCCTCTCTGGCCTTCCAGCTGCTGGAGGCCTGGAAGGCTCTGCTAGGGAAGAGCAACCTGTCTCCAAAAGGAGGGGAAGGGGACCTGGAGAGGCCCTGGCCATGGACTTGGCACGTCCCCTCCCTCCCTCCCTCCCTCTCCCTTCGGATGAGGAAACCTTTCGCCTCCTTTTTCCAGCCAGTCTGCTGGTGAGGCCTGGTTCTTCCTAGCTGGGATCCTCAATCCAGACTCTGCTCTGAATCAGGGAAGGGGCCCATTTCTGTTCTTAACATGATCGAATCTCAGGGCTGGAACCCAACCCTGAAGGGAGATGCTGAGGAAATAACGTTTACTCAGCTGGGATCTATTATGGGCTGGCTACTGCATCCTTTTGATTCCTGCTCCCTCCACCTATAAGGTAACCTGGGCCTGGTTGACTCAGTTTCCCACAGAGATGTATGCCTGTACAGTAATAAAAAGATACTAATGATGTTTGTTTTCAGTATGTCCATTCAAATTCACAACAGCTGACAAACACAACTAAATTGTCTGACAAACACGTAAACGCTCACCGTGAGATCTGAAAGAAAAGGCATCTGCAACAAGAACCTGGCAATATTCATGGTAGGGTAGAGTTCAACCATTCCACAAATTTGTCACTCTGTACTGTGTGAGGAGGCCACCTTGCATGCAAAGAACTGGGCACCCAGCATTTCCTTCACTGAGCTTCAGTTCCTTCTTGCTCTTGGGTTGAGGACATTCCTGTCGGATTTATTCCAGGATGAGAGCGTACATGTTCTGCTCCAACAGAAGGAATCTGTTGCAACTGGCTCAGTTACAGGGAAGAGCATCTAGGGATAATCCTGAAACAGACAGTGGCAGTTGCTCTAAAGGGAATGTTCTGGAAGGCACCCAACTTCCTCGTTCACGCCTCGTCAGGGTCTCTTGAATGGCTCAGACACATCTGAAATTTTCTTTTTCATCCACCTTGAAGATTAGGCCAAGGCCCAGCTCCTTTGATCCTTCCTTCAGAACACCTCGTGGGGACCACAGTCACCCTGCAGTCCTTCATGGATGCAAGCGGCTGAAAAGGATGTTGAACAGACTTTGATGAGACAGTGAAATCCTCAGATTGTAACTGGGTATCACACTGAACATTATTACTTCGCTCTTTTTCCTATGTAGGCCCATCAGTTGCTGCCTCAGGTAACATATCCATACTCCAAACACCATTTCCCAAACACACCTGGAACTATGTTAAAAGTTGGAGCATGAGAAAATGTATATTGTTTTAGCATGTTTATTATTTTCAGTTAAATGCTTTTCATCTGAACATGATCACCATTCGCTGACATCAACTGTTGTGTGGTTTCATAGCCAGCTCCTTCCGAGATCATCCCTGATGCCCTTTTCTTGACTGTCCTTATTTTGGGGGGAATGGGTGGGATGGAGGAGGAGATGCTGAGGGCTGCAGGGACTGAAGCTCTTGTTCCCAGGTGCCGGGGGGGGAAAGGGGGGAGCTGCTCTCTGTCCGTCTCAAGCCCTCCAGCCGGTGTCCAGAGGAGAGGCCTCATAGGACCTTCCTCCTGGGGGGCCGGTCTGGAGAGAGGTTGATTCTGCAAATATTTAGCTCCATGGCGAAGGCTCTGGCTTTCTGGTAGAAGAAGAGAGACATCTCTCGGTCGATAAGAAAATTGTGGTAAATTATGGCAAGTCTAGTGTAAATCTTCAGTTGCGCTTTCTTGTTTCCCAAGTCCATGGCGGCAGCCAGTGCCAGATTGTAGTATCCTGCAGCATCAAAAGGATCCTGAAACATTAAGCAATAGAGGGGCTGTGATTAGGGTTTTTTGTTTTTGTTTTTTAATGGAAACAGGCCAGTCAGTAAGTCAAGTCTAGGACAACAACAAGGATGTCAGGGAATTGCACCCTTGCAATGGCAGCTGTCGAAGTCAGAGACACTGACACAAACTTGTAGTTTATATAAATATATATTTTACATCTATATATACTTATATAGCCAACAAGGTAGTCTGGCCAAGAGGAGCGTCCTGAGGTAAATCCCAAAGCACGCAGGGCACTCAGAAGAAAAAAGGCGGGAAAAAAGGGAAACTCCCCCTTCACACCCAGAGCCACCAATCACAGTGCAGATTGCCTCATGCAGGGGAGCCAGGGCTCTCCAACCAATCGACACTAACTGTTCTGCCTCCCTCTTTGCTATTCCCACTAGCGGCTCTGCTCCCCCAACTCTAAAACCCGAGAGCAAGTAAAGATACACCATCATGGCAGAAAAGACTTTCATTAGGGACGCCCTTGCCAAGGTTGACACCTTCAAAAGTAATGCAGCAGTGACCTACCTCCCAATTCAACATTGCAATTTTTTGCTTGAACAAAAAGACACAGCCTTACACAGAGAGAGAGAGAGAGAGAAACCCATATCTGCCACTGAGATTTGGCAATGGTGGCAAAGTTCATTCTGGGCCAAGAAAAGCCAGAGTGCCTTTTGTGGTCCCCCTGCCCTCCCTGGCTCCCTCTGTCGGGAAGGGGGCAGGTGACGGTTGGGTGGGTTCTGCGCTGCTGCCTGCAGCTGCTTCGCTCCATGCTCTGACCCTCCCCATAATTCCCCTGGCCTTGCCCCTCATCTGCTGCCGTGGGATCACTCCAGCCATCCCAGCCCCTCAGGACTGCCCCCCACTTTCTTCCTTCTCTCCCGTGGTTTCTTCCCAAGTCTAATCTCCACAATTCACTTCTGTTTGGGGCGTCACGGGAGTGATAACAAGCAGGGCTTCTCTCCTGGCTTCCGGAGCAGGGGGCAGGGAGAGGAGAAGCTACCTGAGCCTGCAAAGAAGGCAGGAAGGTGTGGGGGGGGATTTGAGGTATAGCTGTGCAAGAACAAGCAACTGTTTAATGAGGATGGCACATTCCCAAATTAGGAGCCTTTTCTTTCTACAAAAACATTATGCACCTTTGAGTGCAAGAGGCTGTGGCCTGAAAGCTGCAACTTGGTTGCCTCACTTTTTTTTTTTTTTTACACAAATTCTTCAAAAAGGGGCCGATGCACAGGGGAAGTCAGAGGCAGCAGTCCCTGGGGGGAAATGTCATCAAAAAAATAATCACGGTCCAAGTCCTCTAAATCAGCAAGGCCTTCTCATCAAATTAAGGAGAGAGACACAGGGAAAGTTACAGATCTTGGGAGGTGTAGACCGGCCTCTGGTGAGCTGCCTTTCTGGTAAGATAATCCAATTTATTTCAGGGGAAACATGACAAAAGCCACACTTAGCATATATTATTTGAAACCCTCCCAGCTGCTCCTCCTGTTCTGTTCCCCTGCGTCTCCCGAAGGAAAGATTCCGCAACCAGCTGACGCAAAAGGGATTTCCCACCTTCAGGTACTTATTCCTCTCTTACCTTCAGGTCATAGAAGGTGATGTCTCCCAGGAGAAGGTACACTTTGACGTAATAGAGGGCTTCCTCGTCAAACTCCAGTGGGGAGGGGCAGAGGGAAACGGCTTTGAGGAAGAAGTGCTCAGCCAGTTCACACTGCCCCAAGTGATGGTGGATGACCGCCAGGCGGTGGTAGGCTACTCGCTCACTTAGCTGGTCTCCTAGCCAAGAAGCCAAGAGAAAACCGCCCATGAAGGAGGGAAAGATGGCAGGCAGCCGACCAGGGATGGTCCTGATTCACCAGGTTTGGTAGTGAACAGCAGACCCAAAATATGCCACCAGGAGAACTTCAATGTCCCTTTAACATAGGATGTGGCCCTGTGCTTGTGCTGAGATGCCTGCTGTGATGGGACCCCAGTGGCCATGAAATCGGCCTTGTTGGTCACACCCTGAAGACTCCCTGGACAAGGCCGTCAGTCACCAGACTCAGCCCTCCTTTTCCCATCCTGTGCACCTAGGAAGCATTTGTGTGATCTGCAGTGACACAAGGCCAATGATACGTCTCTTTCTCTACAATTTTGAATCACCATCACCAAGGCCCTGAAGGTTCAATCCTGGCAACTGGACTGGTTTTTTTATTAGCGGGAGACGTTTCACTGCTCATCCAAGCAGCTTCGTCGGCCAGAGCAAGTCAGGTAGACAGAGAGTC